GTCCGGTGTGAATGAATCAAAATTATACCTTTTTCTTGTCAGATGGGCAAAAATATATTTTTTGGAGTACCACAGAATTTTAGTAATTAGTTTATGTGTGCCTTGAGATGAAAAAGGTTGAAAATGGCTGACATAGATATTCTCAAAGAAGTTTTAGCTTCATTAAGCACAATATATACAGAGGTGTCCAAGGAAAATAGCAAACAGTAAGTACTGCAGAAATAGATTTGTTCATGATCATTTTAAGGAGAGTCCAGAAGGAGGAGAGAGTTCTGTGAATTACAATCATCAGAGATTCCATCGCGGAGGGGTCGTCCTGAGCTCTACCTAGGAAGATACTCTAATCTGAAGAGTATTCATAACACCAAAAACTTGCTTAGCACTCCTATGTTCCTGATGCTAATTCACCTGCTACTCAAAACCACCCCACGTCATATATACCTTTCCACAGATGGGGAATTTAAGAAAGAGAACCAGCCCCAACCACTTTGACTCAAAGTTTAGGGCGCTAGACTGTGGACTGAAGGGTCCCAGGTTTTATTCTGAGTAAGGGCACATACATTGATGTGTCTCTTTCACATCCATATTTCCTTCTCTCTCTCTCTCTCTCTCTCTCTCTTAAGCAACTTGTCCAAGCTCAACAAACAAGTCAGTCTTGCAGCTGGGACTCGAATGCAGTCAGGTCAGCTCTTGGGCCAGATCTGGCTGCTGAGTTGTTGCCCTGACAGAGCAGAATGGCATGAGCAAGGACACAGATGTGACAGTGTGCTGTGCCTGCCAGAGCTAGCAATTGCCAGACTGTCAGGCAAGACAGGTTTATTTAGACACTTTGCTCTAGGCCAACGTGTGTTCATATGAAGAATCTCTGCGTTTAATTACATTGCAGATTCAGTTAACACATTCTATACCTGTCACTTCAGAAACTTCTCCCTGAAGCTACTGTAGTGCCGAAAAACAACCATATAAAAACTTCTTCATTATTATGTGTTCTTGTTAACTGATAAACAATAATCATTTCTTTTCTCATTTAGGTATTCCTTAGTTGGAACAAAAACTCTACATTGTGAACTCTCTGGAAATGATGTGGAATGGAGTGATGCTCCACCACATTGTGAAGGTAAGTACATTCTGTCTTTAGAATTTAGAGCAGCAGTTCTCAAACTTTTGGGCCTGGAGACCCCCGTATGCTTTACAATTAACCAAGAACCCACAGCGCTTTTCTGCAGGTGGGTTAGTGCTATTGATATTCCTTATATTGGGATTACAACAGAGAAGATTTTAAATAATTATTTGCTAATTCATTTTTAAGAACAATAAGTTCAATGCATGTTAACAAATGCAGCATAGTTTTGTCCTAAGATCAAACATTTCCAAAACAGTGGGAAGGGTGTCATTGCTTTACGTTTTTCTAATCCCTTCAGTACTGGCTTCAAGGAAGAGCTCCACACCTGCGGCTTATCAGACAGTCTCAGGCCATTGGAAAATGTCACTGTCCGCTCTCAGGGTGACAGTGAGAAAAGACAAAATCGTGGCATCCCTGAGAACCACTGACTCAGGAATGGATGTAGCATTTCTCAACTAGCACTGAGTCTTCCTAAGTCATAAGTTTATTTTCTCATTAAATTGTTAGCATCTCTTATGACTAGAAAAAACTTAACATGGCCTTACAGATACACACAAGTCTTTCATACAGGTATCTTCTATGGGTATTTAAGAAAATGGGTTTTATTCTAAAATTTCATTTTCTCTATTAATGGTTTGAATTGGGATAATACATTTCTTTCTATACATTTTTAAAATGTTTATTGAATTTGCTACTAGATGTAGAAATCATATGATAATGAACTATTGAAGGCAGTTCATAGGACACTACTAATGCCGTCTTAATCTTCTACTTTTTCTTTTGCCTTTCCTGTCCTTTTTTTTCTCTCTCTCTTTTTAAGAGGTTTGGTGTAATCCACCTAAACAAATACCAAATGGGAGATTCACCAACAGCCACAAGGATATATTTGAATATAATGAAGAAGTTATTTATAGTTGCAATCCTTCAAAGGGACCAGACGAATATTCACTTTTTGGAGAGAGCAGGCTTGTTTGTTCTGGGCTTAACCAATGGAGCCCTGATCCTCCTGAGTGTAAAGGTGATAACATTTCCATTTCTTTCCCTCCCATTTGCAAACAGTGTGGAAACTTTTACCAACTTTTAAATACTTTGGCCAACAAGAAAAAAAAAAAACAACAACAAAAACAGCCGTATATGCTTGTTCCTCCTGTTGTATTTGTTTCTAATCTATTTTTATGAGTGAACTAGAATAAAAATAATTCTACTTGCAGAGTTTCCCACTGTTCACCACGTATGTCCTTGACATTCCTGTTTATACATTGTTATTTACTATGTATACGCATGAGTTAAATTTTTTTGGCTAGAACGCATCAAAAAACATACACTGGCTTTAAGGAAGTTTTATCTCATAATACAAGAAGTTTGACAGTTCTGGCTAGCCAAAATGGTAGAATAAATTGTAAGACATTAACCCTCTCACCAATCAGATTGATAAAGTCTAGGCAAAGCATGCAGGCTTACATTGTTTAATTGTGCTTTGCTTTATTGCCCTTCACACATATTGAGTTGTATTTTGAGAATTGAATACCATAACCCAGCAAAACAACTGTAACCTTCTTTACTTCAGTACTCATTTATTGTTGTAGCCTGAAACAAACCTGAAATTACTCAGAGGTTTACCTATACTTAAAAAACAATGCCTAAGGCATTCGAGCATGACCAAAAGTAGAACATACTGGAAAGTATTTGACTCTTGAACAAAAGGAACCACTGAAAAACAGGAAAATATGTTCTCTTTTCAAGTGCATATGTAATAATTTTAGTACCATATTGGAGGCAATATGTTTAAATTTTTTAATTTCAAAAATTGAAATTATTTACAGTACAGTATCTTTACAATGGAATGAATGCAGAAATCAAAACAAAGATATCTATAAAATCCCAAAATATTTAAAAATTATGAAGACACCTCTAACTAACCCATGAATAAAAGAAGGATTCACAAGGGAAATTAGAACATGTTTTGAATTGAATGAATATGAATACACAATATATTGAAGCATCAAAATTTGCGAAATAGAGCAAAAACATTGCTTAGAAGAATATTCATAGCATGCAATACATACATTAGAACAAGAGAAAAATTTCAGCTCAAGAATATAAGCTTTCACTTAAAGGAACTAAAAAGGAAAAGCAAGTTGAATACAGAACAAGAAAGCAGAAAGAAATAATAAAGATAGAAATCAATAAAATTGAAAAAACATGTTGAGAGAATCATTGAAACCAACACCTGGTTCTTGGGGAAGATCAATAATATGTATAAACCTATAGCCAGTGTGACAAAAAAAAAGTAGAAGACACAAATTACCAACATCCAGAATGAAAAAGAGAACATCATTAAATATCCTGCAGACAACCCGGTCATCATGGCTCAGTGGTTGAGCATCCATCTATGAACCAGGAGGTTGCAGTTCAAGGACACACACCCAGGTTGCAGATTTGATCTCCAATGTGGGGCGTGCAGGAGATAACCTATCAATGATTCTCTCTCATCATTGACGTTTCTATATATCTCTTCCTCTCCCTTCCTCTCTGAAATATATATATGTCTATTTTTCGTTTGTCACCTCTCACATGTATCCCCTCTACGTCCCAACTGCCTTTTCCAGCTCATATGTTTCTAGCTGCCTATTCTAACAAAACTATTAAAACATTAGCAAGTAAAATCCTGTCATATTATGAAAATAAGAATACTATATCATAATCAAGTAAGATGTGTTCCATGAAAGCAAGGTTTTTTCAGATTTAAAAATTAATCAGTGTAATTTACCATACGAAGAGACTATAAAACAACAACAAAACATGATTCTCTTAATAAATGCAAAAAAATGCATTTGACAGAAAACTTCTTAGCAAACTAGAAATAGACGGGACCTAATTCTCTCAATCTGACAGAAGGTAGCTATGAGTATTGCACAGCTAACATGACACTTAATGATAAAATATTTATTTCCCAATAATCTAGGGATGAGACAGGGATGTCTACTTATCCTGCTCTATTAATCATCATATTGAAGGTCCTATTCAGTACAATAAGGCAAAATATAGAAATAGGCATACATATTGGAAAGGAAGAAATAAAATAGACTTTGTTCAATATGACATGATTGTGTGGAAAATGTGAAAGACTTTGCTAGTTACACTGGCAATAAACAATTAAAAATTTAAATTTTCAAAGTACCATTTACAACACCGAGCAATGCAAAGTATTTGCAAATGAATCTAACAACACATGTGCAATATTTGAATAGTTAAAACAAGGAAACTTTTTAAAAATTAAAGAAGGCATTTATAAATACAGAAAAATTCATCGCTAATGCATTTCAAGACTCAATATAATAAAGATGTCAATCCTCTATAACTGATGTATAGATGAGTATAATCCCAATAAATTTTCCCCCAGAAGTTTTTTAAGAAATTGACAAATTGTTTCTAAAATTTATTTGGAAAGACAAAAGAGTAAGAATAGTCAAAATGATTTTGGGAAACAATTAGAGGACTCTGGTGTCAAGACTTATTAGAAAGCATACTATTTAATGACTAGTCAAGACTGTGTGGTATGGGTAAAAGGATGGCCATAGAAAACAATGGACCAGAATAGAGGGTCTAGGGTAGAACCTTTCAAATGTCTCCAATTGATTTTAGCACACATGTACAAACAATTCCGTGGAAAATGGTAAAAGTACAGGCACAATTGAACATCAATATGCCATAAAAGGGAACCACAACCCTTATTAGCATATTCAAACATTTGCTAAAAATAGATCTTAGACTTGCCTTAAATTCAGAATTATAATAACACTTTTACCTGAAAAAGTAGAACATATTCATGAATCGGTCAAAGATTTCTTGTATACAAAACCATAATCCTTTAAAGAAAAACAAAGTTAACCAGTTGGAATTCTTAAAAACTCAAAGCTGCTGCTCTCAAAAGACATTGCTATAAGAGTCT